ATTTTTTTTTTTTTTTTTTTTTTTTTTTTTCTGCTGCTGCAGCAAAGAATTGTCGTATGCTTAAGAGTATAAGTTGTATAAATAATTTAAATAATTTAAATTTAATTTTTTATTTAAATTTTTGTGCAAAAATAAACAAAAAATATTTATTTTATAAACATACTAAAGAATTTATTATTCTTGAACTATATATTAGGTATTTATTTATTTATTTATTTATTTATTTATTTATTTATTTATTTATTTGCTGCTGCTGCTGCTGCTGCTGCTGCTGGTGGGGTTTCTGGGGGTGATAGGGATGTTGGGTTGCTGCTGGGACGAGGAGGGAGTTGGTTATATTTGCTGCTGTTGCTGCTGCTGCTGCTGCTGTTGCTGTTTGCTGCTGCTGCTGCTGCAGACTAAAGAGGCCTGCGGTGTATGAACAGCTCGATATTGAGACACAACATTTCTTAGAATCAATTCGTAACTCAAGTACTGCAAGTATGTCTAGGGTTTAGGGTTTAGGGTTTATTAGGGTTTAGGGTTTAGGGTTTAGGGTTTAGGGTTATTTATTTTTTTTTTTTTTTTTTTTTTTTTTTTTAGCATTTAGCGATTCAAGTGATGAGGAAGACGAAGAAGATGAAGAAGAAGCTGCTGCTGCTGCTGCTGCTGCTGCTCCTATATGGGGTGTATATACACCTCGTTATACACCACAAGAAATAGAGAAACCTCTTAATACACTAAAAGAAGATGAAATACAAATGGAGGCAGAAAACTTCTATACACCCTCATACCTCATGCAGCAGCAGCAGCAGCAGCAACAGCAGCAGCAGCAGCAGCAGCAGTTGCATCCCCAGGAGGAGGAGGAGGAGGAAGAGGAAGAGGACGAGTATGGCGACGAGGAGGATGAGGATGAGGATGAGGATGAGGATGAGGATGAGGACGAGGAGGAAGAGCTGCAGTCGAAGTTGCAGCAGCAGGAGCAGCAGAAGGATCAGCACCTGCAGCAACAACAACAGCAGCAGCAGCAGCAGGAGGAATGTAAAAAAGAAGGAGCTGCCTATACACCTGAATTAATTAAATATAGTAGTCCTCTACATGAAGACATCAGTCGTATACTCAATCTTATGGGCATACAACATCTTAATTCTGCTACTGCAGGTCCTGCTGCTGCTGCTGCTGCTGCTGTTGCTGCTGCTGTTGCTGCTGTTGCTGTTGCTGCAACTGTTGCTATTGGTGCTGGTGATGCTCTGGATGCGGGTGTTTGCCTGAATTCCCGGTTGGCCTTGCTGTTGCTGCTATTGCTGCTGCTGCTGCTGCTGCTGCTGCTGCAATAATTAAGGTATATTTGCTGCATATGTTGCATGCACAGGTCCCTATAAGACGGATTGTTATATAGTAAATAATAATATAATAATAGAGGCTGCTGCTCCTTACCAATTATATGCAAATACTTATTTACCTACTGCATGCAGCAAACTGTGGGGCCCCACACCTAGCAGCAAATGCATGCAATTAGCAGCAATACCTATTGATTTGTTTATTTATTCATTTATTTATATGCATGCGTTGTCTTTGCTGCTATTTGTTCCTTCGTTCTCTCCTTATGAGCTGTCTATACACCTGCTGCTGCCTCTCATGCATCTTGGGTGCTGCTTCTGCTGCTGCTGCTGCTGCTGCTGCTTGCCCTTTTGCTGCTGCTTCTGGTGCTGCCTCTGCTGCTGCTGCTTCTCCTGCTTCTTGTGGCGATGTTTGTGTTGTGGCAATTTGTGGTCATTCTTCTGCTCTGCTGCAGCTGCTGCTGCTTCTGCTGCTCATACCTCTGCTTCTGCTGCTGCTGCTTCTGCTGCTGCTGCTGCTGCTGCGTATGGTGTACAGACGTCATGAGTTATTAGTAGCAATGGGGTTTAATTTGTTAATAATTCATCAGAGGGATTGGGCAAAACTAAACAATGACGAAGAAAAAATCTCCTTGCTGCAGCAGCTGCTGCCAGCAAGAGTACTTGCTTCCTCTACTGCAGCAGCAGCAACAACGACAACAACAGCAGCAGCAACAGCAACAAATGCCTCTGCTGCTGCTGGGTAGCTTTTTTGGGGTTTAGAGGAGGTTTAGGGTTTAGGTAGCAGCAAAAAATATGTCTTCCTGCTGTACAACATAGACACCAAACCCTAAACCCTAAACCCTAAACCCTAAACCCTTAAATACAAACACATTGCATGCAAAGTTTACTCTTTAATGCTTTAATACTGAATAAAAACAACAAGACAATTCGTCGTTGCTGCTGCTGCTGCTGCTGTGTAGTAGTTGCTGCTGCTGTGGTGATTACTGGCTCTGCTATAGTTGCTGCTGCTGCTGTGCATGCTGCTGCTGCTGCTGCTGCTACTTAAGTTGTTGTAACTGTAGCTACAACTCAGCAAGGTACTATAGCAATCATAATACTAAAAGAATGTCTATATAAGTATGCATGCGGGGGAGGCAGTAGAGGGCGAAGAGGAGGAAAACGAGGGAATCAATGGGCTATTCCCCTTTATATTTGCATAAAAAGTACTATTAAATAATTTAATTATTTATTTAACTCCTTTGCTAAAGAAAAGGGTAAAAAGATACTGTTTAGGGCATGCATACACCGCAAGTGACCAATGGACGGGAAGACAGACATTGTCTGCGGTTCTCTTATGATGAAACTTTGCATAAAAAGTATATAATTAATTAAATATTTATATTTAATTATAATAAAAGAAGAATATTCAATAAATAGTGTATAAATGATGTATTATTAGAGGGAAACGTTCCTTCGTGATTACAAGAAAGAAGACCTTAGTTGCCGCCGACGCGGTCCATGAAGGAAAGAAGATGAATAAAGGGGAAAAGGGGGTATTTATTGACGTATAAGGGTGAATAATACCTTAAAATAAAGAGAAAATAATAATAAATTTATTTATTTAATTTATTTATTTAATTAGTGAGATATTGAGGTCTACACAGTTTCTTGCAAAAAAAAACTCCCCGCATGGCTGGCTGTACACCTGAATTCAAGGTCCTCCCTGCAGACTATTGAATGACGTCATTCATTCATTCATTTATTTTATTCTTTTCTTTTTATATACTTTATATTTATATACATTGTTTTATTTTATTTTTATATTTGTATTCTTTCCTTTTTTTCTTTGTATTCTTCTTGAATTCTTTTCCTTCTTCTCTCTGTCTTTCTCTCTTGTCTCATGACGACGACGTCTTATCATCGAGTCGCGTCTACAACAAGAAAAAGAAAGGAAATAAGAAGAATAAATCTATTTTCTTTATAATTAAGAAGATAATAATTATATTTATTATTTATTTTTTGAATAATAATTTACAAGAAAAGTATTTCTTTACGAAGGATAATCTATCCATCAACATGATGAATAGTCTACTCATCCTCTTGCTGGTCAGTCCATACAAAACCCTAAACCCTAAACCCTAAACCCTAAACCCTAAACAGTAATTACGATTGTATGATCATAATCAAGGCTTTCTATGCTTATTTATTCCTTCTTGTTTACTCACAATTAACTTATTTTATCTTTTTTTTCTCTTTTTTTCTTATTTTCCTCCTTTTGTTGTTCACAGACACTGCAAAATCAATACGAGGAATAATTCTTGGGCAAAACAAGAACGAAGTAAAGAGTAAGCTCAATAAATAAATAAATAATAAGTAAATAAATAAATAAATAAATATTTTATTTTATTTATTTGTTTATTTACTTTATTTGTTTATTTTTTTATCCTTTTATTGTATTAATAGAATATATTTTTCCTCTTTTTCTCTTTTTTTCTGTTTTTTTCTCTCTTTGTGGCAGAAGGCTGACGATCATCCTCTTTTTAAAGAAGAAAAAGAAATAACAGCAGCAGCAGCAGCAGCAGCAGCAGCAGCAGCAGCAACAGCAGCAGCAGCGCAGCAACAGCAGCAGCAGCAATAATACCAACAACAGCAGTAACAACAGCAGCGAGCAGCCACTACAACAGCAATTGCAACTGCAGCAACAGCAATAAAAACAGCAACTGCAGCAGCAACACGAACAGCAGCCAGCCAACAGCCACAGCAGCAGCAACAGCAGCAACAGCAGCAACAAGAAGAGCAGAAACAGCAGCAGCTTTCTTTTATATAACATCTTCTTAACAACAAAATAAATAAATAAATAAATATATATAAATAAATAAATAAATAAATAATAAATAAATTAATAAATAATAAAGTAAGGAATAAATAAAATATTAATAATTAAATAAATAAATTAATAATAATAAAATAAGATATATGTATATATACATAATAATAATAATAATAATAATAAATAAATAAATAAATAAACAATTAATAATTAATAATTAATTAAGGAGTAATTATAATAATTATTTATTCCTTTATTATTATTATTTATTTATTTATTTTTTGTATTTATTTATTTATTTATATTATTGTTTATTTTATTTAATTATTAATAAATATTATTGTTCTTAATAGATTCTTCTCTTTCTTCTTCTTTTTTCTTCTTTTTCTTTTTCTTCCTCTTCTTTTTCTCTTTTTTCTTCTCTTTTTTCTTCTCCTTCTCCTTCTTCTCCTTTGTTTCCCTTCTTTTTCTTCCTTTTCTTCTTTTTTTGTTTTTTTTTTTCTTCCTTTTTTCTTCTTTGTGTCTTTTGCTGCTTCGCGGTCATCGACTGGAGAGCTGCCCTACAATATTTGGTTTTCTGCTGCTGCTGTTGCTGTTGCTGCTGCTGCTGTTGCTGCTGCTGTTGCTGCTGCTGTTGCTGCTTCTTATGTATTTATTGCTGTTGCTGTTGTTGCTGTCATTGCTGCTCCTGTTGTTGCTGCTGACGTTGCTGTTGTTGCTGCTGCTGCTGCTGCTTTTCCTGACGCCGTTGTTGCTGCTTTTCTTGCTGTAGTTGCTGCTGTAGCTGTTGCTGTTGTTGCTGTTGTTTTGCTTTTCCTGTTGTTGTTGCTGCTGCTGTTGTGCTGCTGTTGTTGCTGTTGGTGCTGTTGCTTTTGCTGCTCCTTTGCTTGCTGGTGTTGCTGCTGCGGTTGTTGCTGCTGTTGGTGTCTGTTGTTGCTGCTGCAGTTCCTGTTGCTGTTGCTGCTGTTGTTGCTAATGCTTCTGTTGCTGTTGCTGTTGTTGTTGCTGCTGCTGCTGCTGATGTTGTTGTTGTTGCTGTTAATGCCTTTGTTGTTGGTGTTGCTGCTGCAGTTGCTGTTGTTGTTGCTGCTGTTGTTTCTGCTGTTGCTGCTGCATTCCTTGCTGCTGCTGCTGGTGTTGCCGTGGTTGCTGCTGTTGTTGCTGCTGCAGTTGCTGATGTTGGAGTTGCTGCTGAGTTGTTGCAATTGTTGCTGTTGCTGCTGCTGCTGCTGCTGCAGTTGCTGTTGTTGCTGCAGTTGCTGTTGCTGCTGAAGTTGCTGTTTCTGTTGCTGTTGTTGCTGCTGCTTTTGTTGCTGTTATTGCTGCTGCTTTTGCTGCTTTTGTTGCTGCTGTTGTTGCTGCTGCTGCAGTTGCTGCCGTTGATGCTGCTGTAGTTGCTGCTATTCTTGCTGCTGTTGCTGCCTTTGCTCTTGCTGTTGCTTTTTGTTGTTTTTGTTGTTGCTGCTGTTGCTGTTTTTCCTGTTGCTGCTGTTGCTGTTGTTTGTGTTGCTGCTGTTGCTGTTGTTTCTGTTGCTGCTGCTGTTGTTGCTTGTGTTGCTGTTGTTGCTGCTGCAGTTGCTGTCGTTGCTGCTGCAGTTGCTGTTGTTGCTGATGCTGGCGTTGCTGTCATTGCTGTTGCTTCTGCAGTTGCTGTTTCTGTTGCTGTTGTTGCTGCTGCAGTTGCTGCTGCTTTCCTTGTCTCAGTCCCTGTTGCTGCTGCTGTTGCTGCTGTTGTTGCTGTTGTTGCTGCTATTGTTGCTGCTATTTCTGTTGTTGCTTCTGCTGTTGCTGTTGTTGCTGCTGCAGTTGCTGCTATTGTTGCTGATATGTCTGTTGTTTCTGCTGCATTTGTTGCTGCTGCTGCAGTTGCTGCTGTTGTTGCTGCTCCTCTTGCCGCTGTTGCTGTTGCTGCTGTTTCTGTTGCTGCTGCAGTTGCTGTTGTTGGTGCTGCAGTTGCTATTGTTGGTGGTGTTGTTTCTGTTGCCGTTTTTGTTGCTGTTGTTGTTGCTGCTGCTGCAGTTGCTGTTGTCGTTGCTGTTGTTGCGGTTGGTGGTGTTGCTGCAGTTGCTGCTGCTGTTGCTGCTGCAGTTGCTGTTGCTGTTGCTGTTGCTGCTGCAGTTGCTGTTTCTGTTGTTGCTCTTGTTGCTGCTGAAGGTGTTGCTGCTTTTGTTATTGATGCTGTTTCTGCTGCCTTTGTTGTTGCTGCTGCAGTTGCTGTTGTTGCTGTTGT